GCAGGTCTGTAGCTCTGACTTAGCCTTGTTGTAGCCGGTACTTTTAACCATGCTAACTCTGAGAGACGAAGCAGTCCAAGTAACTTCAAAACAGTGCTGATTTCTTCAATGAACACAGGTAAAAATTAACATTACACGCTCAGGTATCTTCCACCTCCAACGTGCACGCAGGCAGCTGAAAGATGAAAGACCCTGAACCACAACAGGCCTATACATTATATCACTTCGGGCTAACCCCATTCTACACAGGAACGCCAAACCGTGACGTCTCCTGGTGCCAGCTTTGAGGCTGGCCAGAGCAGTAGTCAAAACATGAAGAAAATCAATGTGTTGATCATGTCTGTTGATTATGTGGTGTGTAGCTAAAACATTCTGGCATGTCCTCTAGTGACATGTCAGTAATCATAATAACAGTAATCAACTTTCTATCTAGTTATCCTTGAACATGAACAACCTGGAGTACCCCATGAGAATGACTAAGCATTTAACAGCCTGAGCTAGATATCCTGTCTACACTAAACATTTCTAATACTTAAAATGTCTAACCAATGTCTATCTAACTAAAAATACCTAACAGGTGACAGGGTTTGTTTGTTTCAGTCTTTGTCTGTAAGCTGGATACAGGAACAAAGAAATGTGGTCTGAGCGTCCAAGGTGGGGGCGGGGTGCAGCCCTGTATGCACCACGTATGTTACTGTAAACTGTGTTCACCAATCACGTACGGGCTACAGTCGGAATGTGGATGCCCACGGTATGAAGACTCTTTTGTTTACCTTGTTAGCATGAGCATTTACTGCTCTTGACGTTAAAATTTGGGCCACAGTTAGAAATGCATCATAACGACTCCTCACAACGTGGCTGTGTTGTACATCATCTGCAGCACCTCCCCTGTAACCCCTCCCCCAAATCAATGCAGCCAAGTGTATAAAACACATCAGGGAGTTGCGCTTTACTTCCACCCAGTCTGAATGCCCGCTGTCTTTACACAGGAGTGTTTGTACATGATTTGCTGACATCAGCGGATGTTAAATCTTCAGCACAAACCTACCTGTCGACCCAGCAGTGTTTCACAGTATGTGCAGTGATACTGTGTGTGGATCAGAGCTGGTCAGAAGGTGTGTGTGGAGGATTCAGGAGAACACAAGTCAGGATTAGACTCACCTGGCAGCAGCTATTTTTGCACTAAGCAGAGGTTGTGCTCACCTGTGTTGGTGTGTGTGTTCAGTCTGCAGTACATTGAGCAGATAAAGGCCACAACAGTGATGAAGCCCAGAGATCTGCACAAACTTGGAGAAGAGTTCAACTCCATCTACATTAACAATCAGAGCTTCCAGTCTGCCCAGTTGGCAGCTGGAGCCTGCTTCAACGCTGTGGAGAGGATACTTACCGGAGAGGTAACGCACACAGACACACAGCGACGGTCCCCTAAACCCTCCTGATTCAAGCACCAGTACACAAGATGAACATCTGTATTACAGATGTGTGTTTTCTGGGACTAGAGGTGTGGGTATTAGTTGCAGAGGTCTATGGATTTGTTACAAAGGTCTGAGACTAGTGGTAGAGGTCTAAGGACTTTTTTCAGAGGTCCTGGGAATTTTCTGCAGCTATTAGCAAGAAGAATCATAACTTCAACATTTACAACAAAAGAGTTTGGCCTTTGTGTATTGGTTCAGTTTGATGAAAATAAATAAGCTAAGGTATGAATCGCCACCCTGTTAATCTCTGTCTCTACAGGTGAGTAATGGCGTGGCGATCGTTCGTCCTCCTGGTCACCACGCAGAGAGAGACTATCCCTGTGGTTTCTGTTTTTTCAACACGGCAGCACTCACTGCCCGCCACGCACAGAAAATCTCCCACAATGTACAGCTGAGAGTCCTCATCTTGGACTGGGACATTCACCACGGCAACGGGACACAGCACATGTTCGAGGATGACAACAGGTAAGGAGGAGGAGCATGTGACATGGAGTGTGTTGATGTGGGGTGATGTGTAAAGTGAATGGATGTGAAGCAGAGTGATGATGAACACTTTGTCTCTAGCATTCTGTACATCTCCCTCCATCGCTATGACAACGGGGGGTTCTTCCCTCATTCAGAGGACGCTGCCCCTAACCGTGTGGGCGTAGCCAAAGGGGCAGGGTTTAATGTCAATGTGGCATGGAGCGGAGGACGGATGGGTGACTCTGACTACCTCGCTGCATTTCACCACATCGTCATGCCGATTGCTACCGAGGTAACGACATAAACAGAAACACACATCAATCCAGCATGATGCAGTCCTCTGATTGGACGGTCCTCTCTCTGCAGTTTAACCCTGGTCTGGTTCTGGTGTCGGCCGGGTTTGATGCTGCTCGGGGGGATCCTCTGGGTGGGTATAATGTGACCCCGGAGGGATATGCCCACCTCACACACCTGCTGATGTCACTGGCTGGGGGGCGGGTCCTGCTCATCCTGGAGGTGAGTGGTGATGTAAAGGTAAAGGCGAGGTGAAGTGGTGTGAAGTAAATTTAATGTTATTTTTAGATGAAGTGCAGTGAACTCATGTGAGCTATACAAACACTTTGACTTGCACTTTTCATAATCTAAAAACCACTCTTCCAAAGACCTTTCATTTAAAGAGACACTTAGAAGTTGGCCTGGAGTTCTTGGGCAAAAAGGGGCAGGATAAATTTGATTCGGTATCTGATGTTACACATCACACCAGGACCTCACGTGGCTGTTATGTGTAGTGGCTCAGGTTTAAATGAACTAAGCTCAAGTGTCTCTCCAGGGAGGGTACAACTTGTCGTCCATCTCTGACTCCATGGCAATGTGCACCAGCATGTTGCTAGGAGACCCTCCTTCCTCCTTGGTGACTCCCTTCCCCCCTCCTCATCAGAGTGCCGTGGCAACGATCAACGAGGTCATCCAACACCATGCCCCCTACTGGAGATCACTGAGGATACAAAGTCAGTTCAGAATTTATTTTATTTTTTTATTTTATTTAGTATTTCGTTTTATTCCTTTATTTTGCTTTATCTTATTTTTATGTTGATTTTTTTATTGCAATAACTTCCTGTCCTGTCTTTCAGTCCCAGAGTCTGTGCGGACCTCCCTACCCTCCCCGAAGCTTCATGGGAATCGTAATTCTAAAGGAAAAGGCAGAAAGTCAGAGCACAGCTGCAGAGACAAACCTCTGCTACCACTTAAAGGACTGGAAGACACAGTGGTAACACAGAAGGTATGGGTACACCCAAAATCACCTACTGCACATGTACAGTGGGTATGGAAAGTATTCAGACCCCCTTAAATTTTTCACTCTTTGTTATATTGCAGCCATATGCTAAAATCATTTAAGTTCATTTTTTTCCTCATTAATGTACACACAGCACCCCACATTGACAGAAAAACACAGAATGTTTGACATTATTGCAGATTTATAAAAAAAGAAAAACTGAAATATCCTCCCTGTTTGTGATTAGAACTCAAGTCTAATCACGTCTCTAATCAAGTCTCACGGTCATCTTTACGGGAATATGATCAGAGAAGGACATGTTGTAAAGAATGTCTATATCTGCCAATAACATTGTCAAAATATCTTATATCAAATGTTATGTCTGTAATGCTGTGTGAGTCAGAAGTAGTTTGTAAATCTGAACGAGCCTCATCTCATCTTAAGCAGGACAGAAGTTAAGTACTTACATTGTCCATTTTTTGTTACTTTATACTTCTGCTCCCCTACATTTAAAAAAGAAAACAATGCAATTTTCCCTCCACTACAGAAAAAAACCTACAATTAACACATGCTTTGTAAATTAAGATTTCACACATCAAGTATGATTAATAGTGATTAAACAACCAAACTGTAGACAGTATAGAGTAGTGAAGTACCCCAGTACCAGGTATGACATTAAACTGTTGCTCAGATGCAGTGTAAATAATACAAAAGTAATAATAATTTGAAAATATATATATCATACTGTAACACTGACAAGGTTAATTTTACTTGTAAAAATGTATTGTTGGTTCTCCTTATGAAAAAGATCTGAATACTCTTCCCACCACTGATATAGTTTGTCTAGATCCCTCAACTGTTTACATAGGAAAACGGATTAATTCACGCCATGTTTTACCAGATACCCAATCCTGGTCTGTAATAAAAAAAGGGGTACAACTGCAGCCTAGTACTGCATGACAGCAAACATTATACTGTTGCCAAAGTACACATAAGACAGCTTTAACGGCTGCCTGCTTGACGTTTCTATAATTGCCAATGAGGAATAAACACATTAGTATCAACATTTTGCCAGCTATGTGGGGTGATGGTTTACCCAGCGATAATCAAATACCTACTACTCTGATGAAAGTGCAGTAGGCAGTGCAGCCACTACACCGTCCAGTAACTTTGGACACACTACTGCGTGGCCATCTGGCACCTCATTAACTTGGATGTTTGTGTCGACACCAGTTGCTCCTTCTTCATTCATTCATAATAGTAGTAGCAGAGCTGTCACTGCTCACTTAGCATTATATTACATGAATCACGACACTGTACGTCTTATCACATATATGTTACTGAATGTCATAATATGAGCACAATGGCTGCAGCTATGCCTTAAATCAGACCTATCTGGCTCGTTAGCAGGTCATCACATCTCCGGAAAACGTCAGTGGAAATTTCTAAATTTGCGTTACTCTGATAGACTGACCACATTTTCTAAACTAGATGGTTATTTTCTCGTCTGAAGAAACATCAGAGTTTAACGAACTTGCAGCTTTGAGCCTGCCTTGCCACCACTGGGATGCTGGGATAGCATAGCATTCACTGCTTCCATACTGTGAAGTTATGTAGGTCATCCAGGTACTACTCGCCCACATATTTTTTCATACTAAGAGTTTGGATATATTACTTATCTTTTATACACATTTTAGCCTGCTATGTAGTTGGCAAATTCTGAGGCACTCTAGATTTCTTATTCTTTTTTAAATTAAAAAAGCTGTAACTGTGTCTCCCCCTTGTTGTTTTTGTCCATTCAGACAGAGCGCAGTCTGGAGCAGCTCACTCAGGGATTGGCCAGTTTGGACATCAGTCAAACCTCAGCCAATCAGGCTCCTGCTATGTCCACTCCAGTGGGCGGGGCCAGGCCAAAGGTTCGTCTGAGCACTGAGAAGATCACCTGGGAAGGTGATGTGAAAGTGGAGTCTAGTGTAGCCGTACCTGAGCAGAGCCAGTCAGCGGACAGCATGCTGCCTCAAGTGAGTCAGCAACAAAAACATTTTTGTCTCATCCATGGATTTTTGTTTTTATGTAAATATAATGTTGGCATAAACAGTTACCATGGTTGCAGGTGTTTTTCTCGTGTGCAACCTCTTGATAACAGATTAATTAATTAATTAATTTATTTAGTTATTTAACAGGGATAAATCTTTTTTCTTCTGAGACAGTCACATTGTTGCCATGAAAACACCATGTTTCTAATTCGGACTTATTAATTTATCAAACCGTATTATAAATTATATTCTGCTTTATCAATTTATCTTGTAAGATTGTTGCTATAGCAGCATCAGAGGCGGTTGCCACTGAAGATGATGCTTCCGGTGGAACAAGGGCGGAGCCAGAGGCAGAGGGAGCATGTGGTTGGTTGAAGCCAGTGACGTCTCTGGAGCTGGCGTGCAGAGGACAGACAGATGGAGTCAGGAACTAGATTTAAACAGTGATTACCTGCTGAGAAGACAGCTGTCTGTGTTGCTAACCTGTCTGTCTCTGTCTGCAGTTCACCCAGTACCTGGTGGACCCTCTGTCCTGGTGTCCTCACCTGGATGCCGTTAAGCCCGTCCCTCCTTCAGGTATTGATGTCTTCCTGCCATGTCAGGACTGCGGCTCTGATGCAGAGAACTGGATCTGTCTCACCTGCTACCAGGTCACCTGTCTCACCTGTTCACCATATCTCCTGTTGATGGTCTAGCAGAGGTGTGTGACCTGTTGTCTGTGCTGTCCTCAGGTGTTCTGTGGACGGTACGTTAACGAACACATGGTGACTCACGGGGCTGTGTCCGAACATCCGCTTGTTCTCAGCTTTTCTGACCTGTCAGTGTGGTGTTATCTGTGTGAAGCCTACATACACAACCAGGTAATATTCTGACACACCTGGAAGAAAATATTTCATCACAGGTTCTTCACTGCCAATTTAAGACCTTCTCAGTACCACAGAGACCATGGCAGAAAAAAACAAGCAGTAATTTTGAAGTATTAGACTATCAGAGATGTGTCAGGACTGCTAGCTGTATATAACAATAACTCATAATAAAATAATCAGTTAATGTGACCTGGACCAACGGCTGGATTAGAAATTAAATGATTCATTTCTGTTCATTTCACTGTTATTTGTATAGCTGCAGTATCCAGCAACAATCTTATCAGGGCACTTTGCACAGTACAAACAACCAACCACTGGTCAGGTTGATGTGGCTCAGGGCTGCTCATCAGAAAGTAGAGCTCCAGGGCCAGGGCTACCTGTAGAAAGGTACAAGGAGAGAGAGAGGACACACTATGGGGGAGAGAGAGAGGACACACTATGGGGGAGAGAGAGAGAGAGAGAGGAGACACTATGGGGGAGAGAGAGAGAGGGGGGGGACACCATG